GGTGACAACAGTACCATTATCACATCTAGCAAATTAATACTAATTATTCAATGATATTAAGATCCTCGTAAATGTCTTCTCACAGCTGATATGTTTGCATCACTTGGGATGTGTTTCTGACATCCCTTCTAATCATTACACATCCCCTCCTTCCTCTTTCTTCTCATGTAGTAATTGAAGAAATCAGCTCATTCTCCGGGAGCGTTTCTCACAGTCTGGATTTTGCTGACTGCACCCCTGAGGTGTCACTCAACACATCCCACGGCCCCCCATATTTCTTGTAAACTGGCAGATAGCCTAGAGACCTCTGCAAGATCACCACTGGCTGCCACTGCCCTCGGGAGGCTTAGCGGCTAAGCGTTAGGGTTGATCGCTGGGATCCGCAGTTGTACCAGTTAAATGCGAACGTGTATGGAGAGCCCTGAGCTCAGTGGCCAGCACGTAGTAAGGGTTCTCTCTCTGGCAGCCTTCACGATGGCCGTGGACTTGTGGGGTTCTGGGAGGACAGTGAAAGATGGGAAAGTGGGGGGTCTGTCGGATCTCTGGATTGGGCAACCAATTTCTTCCTTCACTGTATGAGATAGAGGGTCTTATTCTAGGCCTTAGGTCTGCTCTTGAAAAAGCTGTGTCCCCAAGCCCAATTTATGACCCAATTTCCATTTTTGGTGAATCCTTTGTCGGGAAATGTCACTCCGACCTCACATGGAGTCAACTTAGCTGCTGCTAAAATTCCAGGAGCCTTGACGTCCTGTTTGCTCAGAGTGCATCCTTGTTGCAGGTGCATTTGCCTGGCCTTGCAGATTTTGGGAGGCCGCGGAGAAGGTCCTGATCCCTGTCCCTCAAATTCGAATTGTTCCTTGGGCATGATCCACCTCCATCCACCCCACGGTGCTTGGAGGGGGGCAGGGTGTGACAAGTCTGATCGAGTTATCTCCCTCTGGTTCCCAAGCAGGTGCGGGAGCTGACTGATGCGGAGTTCCCCCACTCCTTCCTGGTGTCGGGGAAGCAGCGCACTCTGGAGCTGCAAGCCCGGTAGGCATGGAGCTGGGGCCTGGGCCAGGGCGGGAAAACTGGGAGCAGCTGCTCTCCTCAACACCTGTGTTCACTTTCCGAGCAGGTCCCAGGAGGAAATGATTTCCTGGATACAGGTATCAGAACATTCCAGGGCCTCTGGGGTTCTGAACCCAGCCTACCCACCCAGGCTGAGGGGGAGGGAGGGGAGTGTGTGCGTGTGCGTGCGTGCATGTGTGTGCATGCGTGTGCGTGCATGCGTGTGCATGCGTGCCCAGCTGCTCCCTGTGCTTCCTCAGGAGTCGCTCTGTGGTAGTTTGGAATGAGACCTTTCACTGCCTTGCTGGGTGGCCTTGGGCAGGTCACTTAATGTCCCTGAGCCTCAGTTTTCACATCCTTAGTCTGGGGCTAACAACTTCTCCTCCCCTGAGTCAGCCAGGGTGTGTTTAGAATCCAGCAACTGGGACCCAGTAGGCTTCCAGCAATGTCTGTTGACAGCGCGAGTGGACGCACAGATGAGCGAACCTTCCCTGCCGCCCCCTAACCGCTTCCCGTGCCCCCTTAGGCCTGCCAAGCGGCCATTGACCAAATCGAGAAGCGGAATGAAACCTTCAAGGCTGCGGTCCAGGGCCCTGAGGGAGACACCCAGGAGCAGGAGGTAAATGAGGACTTTACATCCCTAGCTGAGCCACCAGCCTCACACAAGCTTATTCCCTCTCTTTGCTCTGCCCAGCCTGGCCTGGAGGGCAGGGGAGTGTCACCCACCAGGACTGATTTAAAGGGACCCGAGAAAGCCCACCCACCCCCACATCAGAGACTCAGCGCCAAAGGTTCTCCCATTAGCAAAAATGTCCTTTGGCGGCCTCTCTATGCAACCCTCCCTAGGAAGGATTTCCCATCTAGGTGGCTCGGGCTGTGGGGCGGGCAGGTTTGGGTTGAAAGTGCCCAAGGAATGTTAAGACCAAGGGAAGGTGGGAGGCGGAGGAGGTGGGAGAGGGAGAGTGTCTGGGACTTGATTTCCACTCTGAGCTCCGAACTCTGGCTTGCTGGTGTCCTTGCTGAGTCCCTCGACCTCTCTGGGGTCAGCTTCCTTACCTGTACGAGGGGCGGTCATAGTACCTGACCCAGCGTTACAGTCTTTGTGAGTTCACATGGGAGCCCCTGGAATGCACAGCACACGTGACCCCTGCCAGCAGCAGGTGGACAGAGGGCCCCAGGGCCTCGGCGCATGGCCAGAAGGGGGTCCTGAAGCGCCCACCCTACCACCCGACAGCTGCAGTCCGAGGAGCTGGGCCTCCGGGCACCGCAGTGGGTCCGGGACAAGATGGTGACCATGTGCATGCGCTGCCGGGAGCCCTTCAACGCCCTGACGCGCCGCCGCCACCACTGCCGAGCCTGCGGCTACGTGAGTAGTCCCGGCAGCACCTGTCCGGTCCACCCCTGCCTCACCTGTCCCCCCTCTGCCTCACCTGTCCCCCCTCTGCCTCACCTGTCCCCCCCCGCCTCACCTGTCCCCCCTCTGCCTCCACCTTCCTGGCTCCTGGCCACTCAGGCCTCCCCGCCAACTCTGCCGGCTTGAACCCATGCCACCGAGAGGCGCTGGGCACTGACTCTGGTCCAGGTACGTGGGGGGCCTTATGTGGACCTCACGGTGGCCCCCTGTGATGCAGGGGCTTCTGTGATCCCCGTTCTGCACGTGGGGAAATGAGGCTCGCAGGCGTTAGACGAGGTGCTCGAGACACTCCCCAAAGCTGGCCCTACGCGTTCATCTGCTCTTACCACCGTTTCCCGAGAGCTCCAGACCCAGCACCAGGAGACGGTCTCCCACTCTAGGTGGGGCGTGCACACCTCTCAGCCCCCCTCAGACCTGGCACCCACCACCCCACCAGCCCCAAGCCTGTCCTCCTGTCTTCTTGAGCGACCTTGGCTAACGGGCCCTTCCTCTCCAGGGAAGTCCTCGGCCCTCCAGCCCCTGCTCAGTTTTGTGGCTAACTGTGTCTCGGTTTCCTCACCTGGGCGGTGGGGATTATAATACCTGCCTCCAGGGTGATAGTGAGCTCCTCCTTTCCTTCCTCAACAGTTCAGGCGGGGCTCACTCAGAGGAGCAGCACCAGCTGATTGAGGAAGGAACCTGTCCCCTCCTCTTACCAGCTCAGGCCCGGTTATCAGAGGCAGATCTTGCTTGGCTTTTTAAGCACCTGCTGTACTTGAGCTGTTCTCTGTTGACCTGACAACCCCCTCCGTTTACTCTGCAAACAGAGAAGCCCTTTACGACCTCAGTCTTTAATGAGGAGACAGGAGACCAGTCAGGCAGGTTGGGGCTGGTCAGGGAGGTGTCCCCAAAATGTATTACATGGCAGTTGGGGCATAGAGTAAATTTCAAGGACTGGGAACACACCTGTGTGTGTGTAAGCAATGAGAGCCAAATAGAAAGGTTCTGGGGATTAGCTACTGTTCTTGGTGATTCACGTTTGTAAATAAGGGTTGAGTCAATTCACATTTGCAATTTAGTAAGTAGTTCCTAAAAAATTATTTAAAATAGTTAAGAAATACAAAGAGGCACAAAGAATAACAATACCCATGTACCTACTTTCAAGGTACAGGGAAGAAATATAACATTCTGACAACTAAATGAAATGTACGATCCTTAATTGAATCATGGATGGGAAAAACAAAACCAGCCACAGAGGCCCTTACTGGGAAATTTGGGGAAAATTTGATCACGAGCAGTAATCCTATATCGATGTTAAATTTCCCAAGTGTGATCATGACATAATGAATAGGCAAGAAAATGCCCTTGTTCTTAGGAGACACCAGCTATTTATTTGAGGGTGCGGTGTCATGACAACTATAATTTATACTCAGATGATTCAGAAAAAAACACATATATATATAGAGAGAGAGAAAGCAAATATGGCAAAAATGTTAACAGTGAGTTTGGTGGGGGCGGTATCATTGTATTATTCTTCCAACTTGTCCGTAGGTTTGAAAATTTTCAGACTAAAAAGCTGGTGGATGAGAAAATAAATACACTAGCAATATAAAAAAAATGTAAATCTCAACAAAATAAAATATTCCCAAGGTAGTTGAAGCTCCCTGTGTGGGGCTCTATGAGAGATCCCTGGCCCAATTTCGGGGTTTCTCATGCCTGCGCATACCTTTGTATTCTGTGAGTCATCTTTTCAGTGGTTTGGGTGCCCAGTTTCTGTCTCCCCACCTGCCAGACGGGAATCCTGGTGAGGGTGGGGCAGGCCAGGCCTTCTCCTGTGGGTCCCTCCCAGGCCGTGTGCTGTGCTGGGCACCCAGATGAGCCCCCTGGTCTCTGTGTCTGGCCCCTTATTTCCAACCCTACATCCTGGGCTCACGGTGACAACCCAGTCTCCCTGGAAGTTCTATCCTGCAGCCCCCATGCTTCTCTCCGAGTCTTGCCATGCCTCTTTCTTCTGGCCTCCCCAGCATGATCCATGTTGGCCTGCCTGGGGGCTTTCTCCACCCTGGCCGGGGGGGGGGGGGGGGGGCATTCCACCGAATGCACGTGACAGGCCTTCCTGGCAAAAACAACCAGCCCTTCAATTTTATATTAGAACACACTTGACTCTAGGATTGAGTGGAATGCAAAATTTGCATGAATCTTAAAGCTAAACCATGGAACTTTAGATACCTGTCCTGTTTGGGGAGGGCCAGCTGCTGCCTGTGAGTGGAGTGGCCCTCGGCAGGTCACTGCCCCCTTGCTGTTGGGTGAGGAGGAACGCGCCAGCGCTGCCCACCTGGTCGGGAGTCTGGGACGATCAGGGGAGATGGCAGAGGGGAGAGAGAGCTTGGAGAAGTGAATCAGATGCAGGGGTGTGTGCAGGGAAGCCCCTGGGATTAATAGCCACCCTCACAAAAGGGGAATCGAGAGGCACCTACAGGGGGGGCCAGCTCTTGAGCCCCCAGCTGGGGGGAGCGCAGTCTGAGCTCTCCCCCAAAGCCATGGCCTCCAGGCTGGGCCTCTGCCAGCACAGGGCACCACCACCTGTGTCTGCGTCCATTCCTCTCCCGAAGTTTGCTCTGTCTTCCTCCTGTCCCTGGGTGCTCTCATGCCCCCACCTCCCAGGCCAAGGCACCAATGCCGCCCTCCCCTGCCTCACCTGAGACCCCAAGCCCTCCTGCCCGTCCGCCCCCAGGTGGTGTGCGCCAAGTGCTCTGACTACCGGGCTGAGCTCAAATACGATGACAACAGGCCCAACCGCGTCTGCTTCCACTGCTACACCTTCCTCACTGGAAACGTGCTCCCTGAGGACAAGAGGCGGGGCATCCTGGAGGTGAGGGCTGAGGGCCCCCACTCAGCAAATGTGTGCGGGCACCCACCACGTGCTGGCCCTGTCCTCGGGGCTGAGCAATGAGCCAGCCGTGGTCACACTCCCCATCCTCTGTCTGCCCACAGTCCCAGGGAGGTGGGGGAAGACCCCTGCACGTTCAGCTGAACGCAGCTCCCAGGTTTCAAGGCGGTTCCCTTCTGCGGACCTCTGCCCACTTTCCAGTCTTCCCCATTCCCTGCTCATGCCTTCCCTGCCCACTAGACCACATAGGCCTCTCCCTTCTCAGGCCCCAGTTCTGTTCCCTGGGGCAACTCACAGGTGATAAGCACCCCCAGCACCTGCCCCAAGCTCGGGCTGGCTGGGGCTTGACCACAGCTCTGCCACCGACCACAAGGCCCTGATGGGACCTCTCTGAGGCTCAGGGACAAATGACCCCTCCTTGTAGGGGTGCTGCAAGGATTAGAAATAATGATTGTCAAGCCCCCGGTCCAGTGTCTGTCACACAGTGGGTGCTCCATTCCCCAACAGTCTCTCTGTTTCTCTGGTTTTCAGAAAGGGTCTGCGACAGGGTCCGAGGAGAGCCTCATGTGCAGTTTCCTGCAGCTGGTCGGGGACAAGTGGGGCAAGAGTGGCCCCCGGGGCTGGTGTGTGATCCCCCGGGATGACCCCCTCGTCCTCTATGTCTACGCTGCCCCGCAGGTAATGCCACCCCCAAACCTCGGCCTTTTTGCGGTATATATGGGTATGGGGAGTATTGTTGGCCCCATATGCCAGAGGAGGAAACTGAGACTCAATGAGGATGTGGTTCCCTCCAGCCAGAGGGTTAGTGGCTTTCAGAGCTGGGCCCAGACTCCAGGTCACAACAGCTTTGCCCAGCAGGCAGCCAGTCCTCCTCCTCCTTGAAGCCCTCCCACCAGTCCACCCTGCTTCATGGGTGTTTGGGGAGTGAGAGGTGGGTATGTGGCTGTTACCTTCAGATTGGCTGTCCTAGGCGGTGGGGCTGACCAGAAAGACAGTGGCCCATGGCTCTCTCCTCCCCTCCCAGGACATGCGGGCTCACACCTCCGTCCCCCTGCTGGGCTACCAGGTGACTGCAGGGACCCAGGCAGACCCCCGGGTCTTCCAGCTGCAACAGTCAGGCCAGCTTTACACCTTCAAGGCCGAAACTGAGGAGCTGAGGGACCGCTGGGTGAAGGCCATGGAGCAGGCAGCCAGTGGCTGGAGCCCCAGGGGACCCAATGATGGAGACCTGTCTGACTGACCCCCAGCCGGCCCCTCTCCCCTTCAGAACCTGGCTCCTGGCCCAGGCTGACCCTGCGGCCTCTGTGATCCACCACTCTAAGCTGAGCTTTCAAATAACGGATTTCCAGGGGCACCTGGCCAGCTCAGTCTGTAGAGCATGCAACTCTTGATCTCCGGGTCGTAAGTTTGAGCACTGGGTGTAGAGATTACTTTAAAAAAAATAAATGAACTTGAAAAAACAAGCAAGCAACCGATTTCCAGTCATTGGCGCCCAGACTGTGTATCTTGATCTGGGATTCAGAAAACGTGGGTCTGTTCCTTGGGGGAGGGGGTGACCAAGCATCCCTGTTTGCCCAGGGCTGAGGGGGTTCTTGGGGTGTAGGACTTACAGTGCTAATACCTGGAAAGTCCCAGATAACCCAGGACTGTTGGTTACCAGTATGGTTCTCCTCCTGGGCTGTATACATTAGCATCACCTGGGGAACTTCAAAAAAAAAAACGATGAAGGGACGCCTGGGTGGCTGTCGGTTAAGTGTCTGCCTTCGGCTCAGGTCATGATCCCAGGGTCCTAGGATCCAGACCCATGTTGTGCTCCCTGCTCAGGGGAGTCTGCGTCTCCCTCTCCCTTTGCCCCTCCCCCCCACTCGGGCATGCTCTCTCTCTGTCTCAGATAAATTAAAAAAAATCTTTTAAAAAAAGATAAAAATAAATAAAAATAAACTAAAAATTTAAAAAATACCAATGCCCATATCCATTACAAAGATTTCCGATTTCATTGGTCTGGGATGAGGAAGGCACGGGAATGCTTTAGGAGTATCATCCTGAATCTCAGCTCGGGCTACCCAGATGAAGAGAGCGAGCAAACTAGCAATGGTGGAGCACCTGTCAAGTGGCAGACATGATAATAATTAGAATAATAAATAATAAACATCTACTGGGCCAGGCACTGTGCTGGGTGTGTCACGTGGATTATCTCATTTCACCCTCAAGAGTTATAATCCCCATTTTCCAGATGAGGACACTGAGTCCCGAAGAGGTTTAGCTCGAGGTCCTACGGCTGGTGGGTGACAGAGCCGCGTCAAAGCGCTTTCCACCAGGCAAGCAGAGAGGGGAGGAGAGTGGCAAAGAGGGAAAAGGTGGGAGGAGGAGGAGAGGACGGGAACGCGTTTGTCTGGCCCAAGGCTTGGGGGTGAAGCTGCTTTTCCGTAAGGGACCACTAGGGGGTGGCAGTGGCCCCAGTGTGGGCCCTGACGCGCTGCCCCTTCTGTCAGGCCAGCGAGCCACAGCTGGGCTCTGCCCTTAAAGAAGGCAAGTCGGGGGGGCGTTCAGCTCAGGTCATGATCTCAGGGTTGTGGGATCCACCCCACGTCAGGCTCTGAGCTCAGGGAAGAGTCAGCTAACATTTCTCTTTCCCTCTGACCCTCCCCACGCTCTCTCTCTCTCAAATAAATAAATAAATCTTAAAAAAAAAAAAAAAGGCAAAATGGACAAGCCATAGATCTTTGCCCCATTCCTGGCCCAGCAGTTTGCCTGCCCCTAATCTGAGGCTACCTCCTTCCCGTAGGGTATTTTAAAAAGCCCAAGAAAACCTCATTGGCACAATCTCTCTGGAACCAGGCTGGCCATGAGTTCGTTCTTTCATTGAACAAATATTTGTTGAGCATCTTGATAGGAGCCAAATGCAGTTCCCGCACTGGGGAGATAGCAGTGAATGAGATGGACAAAAATGTCTGCCTTCATGGAGTTTATATTCTTATATAACAAAATAAATATAATAAAATGTAGAGCCTATCAGATGTGATAAGTGCCTAAATAGAGTGACAAATCATCCCAGACTTTCCTAGTTTTAAAACTGAAACTTCTCAGGGGCGCTTCGCTGGCTCAGTCAGGGGAGCATCCAACTCTTGATCTCGGGGTCGTGAGTTCAAGCCCCATGTTGGGTGTAAAGATCACTTAAATAAATAAAACTTAAAAAAAAAACACAGAAAGTTCTCAGGTCCCAGGAAACCCCTCAGTTCCAGGCAAACCACAATAGTTGATCACCCTAGTGGAAGAAAAGAATAAGAAAGGAAACAGGAAAATGGTGTGTGTGTGTGTGTGTGTGTGTGTGTGTGTGTTTAAGTAAGAAAGAGAGCCACATAGATATCGGAGGGAAGAGCATTTTGGGAGGAGGGGACAGCAAGTGCAAAGGTCCTGAGGTAGAAGCCTACCTGGCACATGCAGAGAACCATGAAGAGGTCAGTGTGGCTGGAGCAGAGTGGGCAGGAAGGAGATAAGAGGAGAAGACATCCGATAATCGCTAAACTAGGGGTGAGGTTGGGGGAGTCAGATGCTGGCCCCGCTGAGAGCTGAGTGAGCTGGAGAGTCATTGGGGTGGCATTGGGGGGGGACATCTGATTTGTTTTGACAGACTCCCTCCTGTCTCTTGTTGCAGTAGACTGAACGGGGTGAGGGTGGAAGCTGTTTTGAGGCTGGTGCGGCAATCCAGGTGAGAGAGGCGATGAGAAGGGACTGGATTCTGGATTTATCCTGAAGGTAGAGCAGAGACTCCCTTACCGAGTGAACATGGCGAGAGAGGAGGAAGGAGCCAAAGGTGACACTGAGCTAGGCCTCTGATCTGAGAGCGTGGAGGATGGAGCTGCTGCTGACAGAGATGAGGAAGCCCTGGGAGGGGCAGGTCGGGGAGCAGCAACACAGCAGGTCTCTGCCGTGGACAAGAGACAGCTGAGGCGGCTACTCATGGCCACGTCCAGCAAGTGGTCGGGCATCTGAGCCCCAGCACCAGGTCTGGGCTGGTAAGCATGGGAGCTGTCATCCCTGAGATGGGGTTCAAAGTGTGCGTGAAACAGGAGGAGACCCAAATACACCCTGCACATCCCATTTTTTAACCGTGCACATGCCGGAATTCTGAGCTTGCCCACCCAGCAACCTTCTGACCTATAATTACCATCCCGAGAATTTCCCCCAAGGAGACAGGCTAGCCAGTGTGGCAAGACTCCTGGGAGTCATTTACAAGAGTTCCCCCAAGTTGAGAACTGCATAAATATCCATCCAAATGAGGAGACCTAGGCCCATAAACTGACACCCATCCACAGGGACTCACACAGCAGGAGAGCTCACGGCTGTTGGACGAGAAGGCTTAAATCTTAATGTGCTGCCATAGGAAGACAGCCATGAGGTGTTAAGTGAGGAATAACAGCAGAAGGAGCTAACACTTCCTTTTTTTTTTTAGATTTTATTTATTTGAGAGAGAGAGAGTGAGAGCAAGAGCTGGGTGGGGGGTGGGGGGAGGGGGAGAGGGACAAGCAGACTGCCCTCTGAGCGCAGAATCCGCACGGGGCTCGATCTAGGACCCCCGGACCATGACCTGAGCCGAAGGCAGACACTTTACCGACCAAGCCACCCAGGCGCCCCAGGAGCTAACACTTCTGAGTACTCACTGTGTGCCAAGCACTGTACTAAGGCCTTGGAGGAGATTATTTCATTTGATTCCTGATCACGTTAGAAGTAGATAGTATATTCAGATCCTCATTCGACAGATGAGGAAACCGAGGCACTGCTAGTTGAGTAACTTGTTTGTGGTCACATAACATGGGGTAGAAGGGGCAGCCTTCCAAGCCACTGTGTGGTGGAACATTCTGGTCCTGCTTGGATGAAGACAGTGTATATCTGCACCATCTAAGGGGCTACCCAACACACTTTAGGAGGGGTTGGTTTGCTTTCTTCTTTAGATGCTTCTGTGGTGTCTGAATTTTTTTTTCAATAGCATATATTACTTCCGTAATCCCAAGAACAAAGGTGCCTTCCCATGTTAAGGGGAAAAGAAAGGAAGGACCAAAGGAAGACTCACCTGCTCTGTCCTCCTTCTCCAGGGGCCCGACCTGTTACTGAGCAGGGTTGCTAAGGCATCAGTGCCAGGGCCCAGAGGCTGCGAGCCCCAGTGGCAACAGGGAAACGCTACCTGGAAACACCCAGTGGGAATGGGGTCACTTGTTAGTCCAAGAATGAGTATGGAAACATGGAAACATAGGGGAGGGCCTGCACTTGGCAGAACTCGGGCTCCCACCAGAAAGCCAAGGACATGGACAGGGTGCCGTCCTCGAGGATCTTCTCCTGGGAGCTCAAATGGCCCAGTGGGACCCAGGGGAGCCCCTGATCTCTCTTGGCAGCTCCTCACCCTGGACTCACTCGCTCGCTGACACCGTGCGTCCCAGGCTCTGGTTATCAGGCAGCAAAGACTCTAAGGGCTTTGGATTTCTTCTATGAAAGGTCCCTACCTATAAAAAGCTGGAGGCTCCCTTAGGTGTCTGGCAGCTCTGGTGCCCATGCACCCCCACCCTGGAGGGGGAGCTCAGAGGGAGGAGGGGAGGCCGGCAGATGCCAGGGTGGGGGCGTCTCTGGAGGGCCGGGGGGACCCAGGCGCCCCTCATTCATTCATTTCTTGCGTATTCATCAGTGTTAGAGTATTTCATTATGCAGGGAGCAGCACACACCCAACATTTCATTTCATTCCGTAACGGCCTTTTGACATCATTTCAAGCAACCACATTTTACAGATGAGGAAGGTGAAGCTGAGCAAGGCTAAATGACTTGTCCCTGGTCACCCAGCCTATAAGGCAGGAATGAATTCAGATTCAGACCCGGGTCCCTGTGACGCCGCAGTCTGGCCCCAGCTGGCCCTAGGGGGCAGCACCTCCCAGCGGCTAGTGGGTCCGGGCCGCCGCACAGCTCCGCCACTGACCGGCGATGCGGTCTTGGGCAGGACTTCGCTGCTCTGTAGGGGCTTTCCCCACCCGTCAAAGAGGGATGAGCATGGTCCTACCTCTCTAGGGACTGGGGTGTCAACTGAATGAATATGTGGCCAGCCCTCAGCCCACACTACAGGCATTCAGGGCCATTAGCTCTCTCCCACGTGCGCCGCAATGCACCTATTTATGGAGGACCTGGGGATATAAAGTTGAAAAAAATCATAGTTCCTGCTCTAAGGGAGTTCAGTGTCTAGGTCATTAACATCACTTGGGAAGCTTTCAATAATACTCCCAATGCCCAGGCTGCACCTCAAGCCCAAATAAGAACCCTGAGTTTGGCTGGGGCCGGGGCATCAGAATTTCCGAGCTTGCTGGTGATTCCGATAGACTGCCCACTCCGAAAAGGCGAGACCAGTTCTTGAGCCTGTGAGCTCTGGCTCTGGT